AGATCTCCCAAAAGTTTTCCTTTTTAAAAAAAAAAGGTAATATAAAATATTTTATCCTAAATAACAAGTTTTTTAAATATCAGAAAGCCAAAGCATATGCATTTTTAATTCAATGGTTTTGTGGTTTTAAGGAGCTTAAAAAGAAATTCTGCTTAGCACGAGTAATTCTGTGCAAAAAGACTGTTGTAGAAGATTTTGCAGGCTGTGTTCAGAATTAAGGTTTTAATTTGGTCTCCTAGTAAACTCTCTATACGTGCGCTGAGATGTATTTCTCAATACAACCATAAGAACTCTAGCTGCTCTTATCTTCATCTCCATATTTTTCTTACTTTTTTTATGCTAAAATTTGAATTTTCAAAAAGGCTTTTTCTTGGCCTAGCTGGTCCCGTATTAAGGCTTTTATCAAACTCAGTGTTTTGGTAAATACACTGGATGCATTAAGACACCTTACTCCTGTCACTCCTGTCTGACTTAATAGCTGGTAAAAAGCAGCTGTATAAAGTCTTAATGCAAGAATCTGTATTCCAAACTGTCTGCTGTTAATATAATTTTTTTCCCCTCACTGTCACTGTATTTTAAGTGCTGATGTGCATTGTTTTATTTCTAATGCAGAATAAAAGAGCACATAGTTTAGATCCTTTTCTCTTTCAGGCATTAGAGTTCCTCTGACAAGTCTTACAAACTTCCATTTTATACATATACTAGCACTTACAGAAAGACTAAAAAAAAATTAACTTTAAAATTAATGAATTAACTAATTAGTTCATTAATTTAAAAAGGGCCATAGGGAGGACCCGGGAAACTCCAGGCCTGTCAGCCTGACCTCAGTGCCTGGCAAGGTTATGGAGCAGATCATCCTGTGTGCAATCACACAGCACCTACAGGATGGACAAGGGATCGGAGCCAGCACAGGTTTAAGAAGGGCAGGTCCTGTCTGACCAACCTGATCTCCTTTTATGATCAGATGACCCGCCTGGTGGATGAGGGGAAAGTTGTGGATGTGTCTATCTGGACTTCAGCAAAACCTTTGACACTGTCTCCCATAATATACTCCTGGAAAAGCTGGCAGCCCAAGGCTTGGACAGGGGCACTCTGTGCTGGGTCAGGAACTGGCTGGAGGGCCGGGCCCAGAGAGTGCTGGTGAACGGGGCTGCATCCAGCTGGCGGCCGGTCACCAGTGGTGTTCCCCAGAGATCAGTGCTGGGCCCAGTCCTGTTTAACATCTTTACTGAGGATCTGGATAAGGGGATTGAATGTACCATTAGCAAATTTGCAGATGACACCAAGTTGGGGGGGAGTGCCAATCAGCTGGAGGGTAGGAGGGCTCTGCAGAGGGACCTGGAAAGACTGGGGAGTTGGGCTGATTCCAATGGGATGAAGTTCAACAAGGCCAAGTGCCAAGTCCTGCACTTTGGCCACAACAACCCCCTGCAGCACTACAGGCTGGGCACAGAGTGGCTGGAGAGCAGCCAGGCAGAAAGGGATCTGGGAGTTTGGATTGACAGGAAGCTGAACATGAGCCAGCAGTGTGCCCAGGTGGCCAAGAGGGCCAATGGCATCCTGGCCTGCATCAGGAACAGTGTGGCCAGCAGGAGCAGGGAAGTGATCCTTCCCCTGTACTCTGCATTGGTGAGGCCACCTTGAGTATTGTGTTCAGCTCTGGGCCCCTCAGTTCAGGAAGGATATTGAGGTGCTGGAGCGGGTCCAGAGAAGAGCAACGAGGCTGGTGAAGGGACTTGAGCACAAGTCCTATGAGGAGAGGCTGAGGGAGCTGGGGTTGTTTAGTCTGGAGAAGAGGAGGCTCACAGGGGTGACCTCATCACTCTCTACAACTCCCTGAGAGGAGTTTGTAGCCAGGTGGGGGTTGGTCTCTTCTCCCAAGTAACTATCAGTAAGACAAGAGGGCATGGTCTCAAGCTCTACTAGGGAGGTTTAGGTTGGATATTAGGGAGAAATTTTTTACAGAGAGAGTAATAAGACATTGGAATGGGCTGCCCAGAGAGGTAGTGGATTTACCATCCCTGGAGGTTTTTAAGATGAGACTGGATGTGGCACTGAGTGCCATGGTTTAGTAATCTCAGCGGTGTTGGATCAAGGGTTGGAGTTGATGATCTCGAAGTTCTTTCCTAACCCAGTTGATTCTATGATTCTATGAAAAATTTATTTTATCTGTTCAAATTGGCAGCACTGGAATCTTTTGTTAATTATGATTGAAATATTGACCAGTAATTGATTTCTAGAGAAAACTCTTACAATTAGAGTCAATTGTTATGTTAATCTTCAGTTTAACAGAGAATGACAAAGAAATTGCTTCATATACATTTAACTCATTAGAATTCCACTGTCATCTTCTGTATGCATTTCACTTTCATAACACTTAATGAGAACATGGATTTTGTGGAAAAGCCAACTCCTTTAAGAGGGAAAAGTGCTCAGTTTGGGGTATTTCGAGTTGTTCTGTTTGGGATTTTTAGTCACTTAATTTTGATCTGCATATGGCTAACGTCAAATTGTTAAATATTTTACATTAAAAAAATAGCAGGTAAATCTTGAATAGCTCAAAAGAGCCTTGCCATTAACTTTTAAGGGTTTGACTTCATCACTAATTTAAATATGCTAAATACATACGCTGTTGTTATATATTAATTGTATTTGTATTCAATGGTAGTTAAGTATAAAAAAAGAAAAAAGACCAGATGATGATGTCTGTTTTATAATATATGAAGTAAGTGCTGTTTTTAGTGAAAAAACATGTGTTCTCATGAACTGTGTTATTTTACATGTAAAAGGGGTGAGGTGTCTCTGCACATTGCTCAGAAAATATTGAATGATTGATTTAGGATGTAAACTACAATTTTCTTAGCTGTTGCAGTATGAGGCCTATTTGTTTCCTCTCTGTTGTTTAAACTGTGACTTGTCAAGCTGGCTAACATGCAGCGTTTTTGTTTTGTTTTGTCTGAGGTTTTTTTGCAACATTCACTGAAAGACAGCTAAGCCTAGACTTCTGATCTTAAATTTTCATGTGTTCAATTGTTGTAGATAGCCAAGGGTGATCACACAATTGCAAGCTTATGGGAAGCTTATTCCAAAGGCAGAAATGAAAAGGAATAATGTTCTGTTGTAGTGTTAATGAGTAGAGATGAGGGTCTTTATCACAAAGCTGTCCGAGAACTTGTTCAAAGTCACTGAAGGAAGTGGCATAAGGAGGCTTTTAAATTTATATGGAAAAATGCAATTCTATTGTAAAGAAAACACTGTTGAGTGTGTTGTGTAAGTAAAAAACACAAATCTATATGTAACAAATCTATATTCTGTTTGCCTCTAGTATTTGTGAAAAATTTCCGAACCGGTTCCATTGTTTGCCAATACTGAATGTTTGCAAAGTACTCCAGGCTAATTATTTGTGCTTAGTTCATTTTAGTATTCACCATTTGTGGCTGAGCAATTAGATGCTTACCTGCTGGGGGAATCTAATTTAAAAAATGCTTTGCTGAGTCAGAGCTCAACTAGTATAACCTTTTTAATTGGAAAATAATGGATAATAAGTTATGAATGCTGCTTAATGCCACCTTATAATTACTGAATAAAATGTAAGGATATGTAAATGTCATTCTAATTGAATATCAATCTCTGAAATCTTTTAAATGCCAAATATTATGATCTTAGAACACCAATTAGCAAAATTATTCATTCAAAAATCTCCATCATTGTGGAGATGGTTATAATACTAATCTGCACAAAGTAATTAATTTCCTTCCCAGCCCTTTCAAAATCCTTTATAAAATGTCATATTTGTAACTCAGAAATGCTTATTTTACTATAACTCTAAGTACTTTTACTAGAACTGCAACGAAGAAACCTTTAAAATCAAGCAGAAGTTTTAGATTATACTGAAAATCTTTTTAAAATAATTAAAAATACAATTTTCAACTTAATTTTATTAATACTTTCAGTCTCTTCTAGGCCATCCTTGTGTTAATTTTTTTTATTTAAAAAAAAAATATCCAGATGCAAAACTTTCATGTCAATAAAGGTTTAAGCGTGAGGCAGCATTGAGGTATATGAAATAGCAATGAGAGTAAAGTAAAACTTCCTTGGAAGACACAAACAAACAAAAAATTCTGAAGATTTCACTGGGCTCAAGGGTGTAGTCTTAAAAATGACTGGTAAGGTGAGGCACGGAAAGCCTGGGGACAGATCTCTACTCAGGCTGAAGGCAAAGGGCTTTTTACTATTAGCTGTCGGTGGTGAATGTCAGCAAGCTGTTTCATATTACATCAGCAGCAGAAGCTTTTTCATGTCTTTTCAGAATCTATTACATACCTAAGACAGCAAGCTTTTAAAAGTACATGGAAAGAGTTAACTGACTTTGTACCTGAAGACTTATTCAGAAGTTTAAACAGAATTTCTGGTTTTGTTAATAAAACAGATTTTTTTTCTTTAGAATCTGAAAGGTGATCATAGAATTGTAAATAGAGCACTTTCTAGCAAGTGTCAGTGCTAGCTGAAGAGTGTATTAGGCTATTAGTTCCTATTATCAAATTGCATTAACTAACATTAACATAGTGCTGTGCTGGCATATCACCAGAGTTTACAAATGAAAATACGTTGTAAAATAGAAAGATCGTCTACAGAGTTTAAATCAGATGGAGAGATCAAGTAGACAGAAAGCCTTTTCATAATTAGGTCGCAGTGACAAAACATTTAGGCACTGTTGCCTGCACATTTGCTGAAAGTGATGTCGGAAGTCATTAATAACTCAGATCTAAGCGGTTTGCCAGAAGTTTGGAATAGTCAGATTTGGCTTTATTTGTTCTGTGTTGCATTTTGTAAGAGATGGTTTTCAAGAATATGGTATTTATGTAGTAATATAAAGCAGTTGCAGTGTTACCAGTTGTCTTCCCACACACACATACAGAAAAAACCTCTGCATAAAATATTTTTTATATGGTAAATTACAATGATGGTTGTTCTCTCAAAAATACCTTTTCTTTTTCCAGTCTAAAACATATATGTGCAGTTGGCAAGGGGATACTCTGTGTTTCACAGTCGACTTTGCTCTGGGATTTACCTGTTTTGACAGTAAAACAAAGGTAAGAGGAAAAGAAAAGGAAAAAAAAACCCCTTAGTATTATTTTACTGTTATTGAAGTTATCAGTGCATTTTTTTATCTTGATGTCCAGTATTTATTCCTCACATATACTGTTCTACTTATTTATTTAGCACTACTGAAATATAGTCAGTTTGGGACTTGAAAGGGGTATTTATAGTTGTGCCTTAGCATATAAAGATAAATTTTGGAGAAAGATATAAAAAATTAATTTCCTTTTCAAGCAATAAAAGCAAAAGAAGGTTATATTTAGCAGAGAACTTGGTTTGTTGTAATGAAGAAACTTCAAAATTAGTAAAAGATTACAAATCATGAAAGAAATTAAATGTCACCTGATTCTATTTGTTTTGAAGCTACAGATATAAAATAGGATTAATTCTTGTTCTATCATAAGAAATTTAGGCCATGCCTAAAATAAACAGAACAAAGGCAAATATATTTCAAAGTCAGAATCTAAAAGGTTAAATTAACTTATCTTGCAAAACAGTGGCTATATTGAAAGTGCCTACAGGGCATGGTTTATGATACATACCAACTTCCAAGTCCTGTCTATAATGCTACTATTTTATATATAATTTATTGATATTTTAAGTTATTCTAAATGGATTTTACATTTGTTTGAAGTAGAAGTAAACATACATTCAAATAATGTTTCTGTATTAATAGAACTGTGCAGTAGAAGGTCTGTCCTTTCAAATATGGTCTTCAATTCCCAACTGAAAGGATTTTTCAAGTATATATTTAAAAAATTGAGTCGGTCATTCTGAGTTAAGAGGGAACACACTGCATTTCGAAATACTAACACAGGATCTAGTCTTTGCATGTTTGTATTTTGTGGGTTTGGGGCCAAAATGCATAAGTCTATTGAAATCTTTGCGTAGAGAAATAAGATTGCATGAAAATTTAGGCTAATTTCATTAAATGTGCTATCCTATGAAGTAGCATAAAATTTCACGAAATACATATGCATACCCTTCCCTGCCCTGGGTGATACTGTATTTTGAAATTGTGCTTCTTGCACAATTACACATATTTTTCATGCAGCCACAAATTAACTACAAAAAAGTAATCACTCTGTAGATTCTATAGAATGTTTCTTTTTTATGTGAACACTGATTGCAGATACTCCCACCTTTAAAATTATAAAGTCACTCTGTTGATAGGACTTCCTGTCACAGTACCTCCCTTCAGTATTGATGATGAAGAAAATTTAGGTGAACCTTTGTGGCTTATCTAAGGAGAAATACAGAATACTATCAGATAGCCTGATTATGTTGTTAAATTGTAAAAATTCTGGAAAGGTTGAGTACATTTATTTTTCATCTGTGTGAGAGATGGAGATGTCCTCTGCATCCTCAAGCCTGAGAGAGGCAGTAATGGGTGACTTCTACAGTTCATCTTATGTCCTGTAATTGTCACCTTTAGTTGATTATGTTGCCCCATATGCATAGCTATTTCAGAATATTTCCTACCAACACAGAAAAGATTCTTAAAGTGCTCAAGCAATTAGCAATTCATTAGGGACATAGCAATTTTACTCAAAAATCTATTTTTTTGAGATAATGAAAAAAATTAAGGTCTTCTGTTGATGGTCTTCCACCACAAGAGGTGTTCAAATAGGATTATTAAAATAAAGAGCAGTCCCCTCTCTGCTCTATGACTCTAAACCTGGTTCTCAATTTTTGGGAAACAAGCTCATGTACTTATTGAAAAACATTCTTTTTATACAGTCTGAAAAATAATACAAAAAGGGCCTTCTAATTACAAATTCTGAATTAAAAAGCACAAGAACTTTTGCATTGGAGTGTGGTGGATTGACCCTGGCTTCCTCCTGAGCTGAGCAGAGGAGAAGAAATATAAAAAGAGGCTTCTGGGTCAAGATAAGGGCTGGGAGAGATCACTGTCTGCTTACCATCATGGGCAAAACAGACTACACTTGAGGAAATTACTTTCATTTATTACCAATCTAATTGGAGTATGCTAATGAGAAATGAAAACCTGATCTTAAAACACCTTCCTCCTACCTCTCCCTCCTTCCCAGGCTTAAATTTATTCCAAATTATCTTCTACCCTCCAGCAGCACAGGCAGATCATGAATGAGGGCTGTGGTCAACACCTCGCATGTTATCTCTGCTACTCCTTCCTCCTTAGGGGGAGGACTCCTCACACTCTTCCCCTGCTCCAGCAAGGCAGTTATCCACAAACTTCCCCAACATGAGTCCTTTCCATGAGCTGCAGCTCTTCATGAACTGCTCCAGTGTGGGTCCCTCCCACAGGGTGCACCTCCTCCCGCTCCTCCTTCACTGACCTTAGTGCTTACAGGACCGTTTCTGTCACATATTCTCACTCCTCTCTCTTGCACAAGAAATACAAATGTCTTTCAGAAAATTCTTTTTTAGAGTAATTTTGGTAGAGTCTTAAACTTACTTGGAAGAATTACTGCTTTTCCTGGGTGTTCTGTTCCTAGGTCATCTTGGGCTTAACTCAATCAGCTGTTGTCATTTTGGGCCCACTGCAGAAATACTTTTGTATCTGCAGCTGCTTTATATCACATTTGTAGAGGTTATTTTTCTCTTGTTGGCTTGGCTGGCTCATCTTTCCCATCCTGTGTCTCCAGCTGCTCATCCAAGATAAAGGGATCCCAAAGTATGCATTTTCTTCCACCTCCCAGAACTATCTACTTCTCTTCTTTCCCACTCACTTCTCAACCACTGAGAGAGGTGATGACTCCAGCAATGCCTATTATTGCTAAATTGTTCCTAAGTTCTTGTTTCATCTCCACCTTAGCAGTTATATTACATAGCAAACATTCATCTCTCCTGTTTAGAGCCAAACTCATTTAAGCTTTGAACACTTTTCAGGTGGTCTAATTAGGCCCTCTGGACCCAGTTAAAATCTGTTCACGAATGTAAAGTTTAAGCATCATCACAGTGCTGTAGCATAGTTGGGTTTTTCTTCATCTATTGTATTTCTCTAAGAAGGCAGTGACATTTATGTCTGCAGGGAACCAGGAGATAGTTTTTTATTTCTAGGGCATTCCCTTTTAAACTATGAGCAGGGTTCTGAAGACCAGTGGTATCACTGGTTTGCTAAAAAAATATTTTGAGGAAAGACATGTTGGAAAATTGAATATAGCAAACCTTTTACCATGTGTGCTTTTGAAATAGCCCTCCAAGTATTTAAATTGCGTTTCCTCAGCAGTGTCCAGGGACTGAATCACATTTCAGCATGTGCAAAGAATTTCATTAAGATTATAGGCATTAAAGGAAACATCAGCAGGAAGTCTGGATGCAAGTTGTTATCTTGTGCGTTTTTAAATTATACATTTTCAGGTGATCAAAAGAAAACATTCAGATAAATACAGAAAATTATCTTGGTTTCTAAAGTAATTCCCCAACTTTTGTTTTAAATATGTATCTCCATAAACATTAAAGCATATCTGTGAATCTAGGATTTGCCAACACTAGTAAGGTGACATGCATAAGCCTGTGGGAGACCAAGAGGCCTAGAATTCTTATATATTTTACAAGCCACTATGTAACGCAGAACACATCTTTGTGGTTTCCAAGACTACATTCAATAATACTATTTTTGTGTTTCTGTAGTGTATTTGAGGATCTCAAACCACATTACAGGCATCAGTAAATTTAGCTTTGCAACATCTGTGTAAGACACTATTGTCTATGTTAAGCAGATGAGCCAGCTGAAATATGAAAGATCAAGATACGGCATGGAATTGTGTTCACAGTGAAACTGATACAGATATCTTCATGAATCTTTATGGAATTAAGCTTTTGCCGTGGATCTTAATATTACTTTGGCAACTGAAACGTTTAACCTTCAGAGAATTTCTAAATAGTTGTTTAATCAGGGAATATTAATATTGTGTCTTTTACTTTCACATAGGATACAAAACTGTTAATTTCTATTTCTCTGCAAAGAGCCTGTTATCATTTACTGTATTTACTGCCCTAATGCTTTATCTTAATACACAAACATTGATCATCAATCTATATAGTTCTAGGTAAGTACATGTAACAGAGTTCTTAATCAAATTTCTTTTTCTTTAGAATGTACTGTGGAGGTTTAAATTCTCTCAACTCAAAGGCTCTTCAGATGATGGAAAAACAAAAGTAAAGCTGCTTTTTCAGAATCTAGATACCAAACAAATTGAGACAAAGGTAAGCAACGTCTCTGTTCTCAGTTTTGTAAAACATGAAATAAAATTATGGTCAAGGCATCAGGAATTCCATTACTACTGCACATACATATAGTGAACACATCACAGCTTATCTTTTTCTTCCTATTCTTTAGAAACTCCACAAGAAATGGAAGTGATGGTTTATTGCACTGTTTGTGTAAACCTGTTATTAAGTTGTGCTATGTTGGTATTTTACTCTTCAGAGGGATAATTTCTGTGAAATTATTCCATCAGCTATAATAGATATAATATCTAAAAACTGCATTTAAAAAAGATAAAGGAAAAATAAAACTATATAAATGTTAAATATGTTTTTAAGCTGCTACCTAAGTGGACTTAAATTTTTGAACACACATATGCTTAAGGTTCACTAAAAATATAAAAGATTATGTAACATTTATTAGCTTATAAAAGGGAATATTCTTGCAGGAGGCCAAGAAATTGCTGAAACCTAGTGGTTCTTCTGTGAATTAAGAGCACTCGATGCTTTGCAGTATCTGGAATTGTGGAGACATCCAGTCACTACTATAGATGAGATATTAGTAGTGTCTTTTTTTTTTTTTCTCCAGCAATTATCCAGTGAAATTGCAAAACTTTGAATTCAGGTTCCCAAGTGAATTTCAGGTGTTTCTCATTCAGGACTGTAGTCATCTGGAGATTTGACTGTAACACCATAATCTGCACGGATTCTACCCTGTGATCCCAAGCTTCCTACTGAATAAATAAATAAATACATAGATGATTTTTCAATCATGCAGTTTTAAAAAGAATGAGGAGAACTTTGATTTGATATGACAGAGAAGAGGAAGGTAAGAGTGAGGTTCAACTGAGTTTTGGTGGGCAAAACCACTGAAAGCAACAGAAAAGTATCTGAAGAACTATGAAAATTCTCAAATACTCTTAGTTGTAGTTGTACAGGTTATAGCCACTTAAAGTAATATTTTTTATAATGACCATACACAAAAGTTATATATTACCTATCCTTCTAATGGTTTTTGATGGTTCAGACTTGGCTCCCTGCCAAATGCCCGAAGTCCAGTAGCAGCCTCCCCCCGCTTCCCCCTTCCTTCTTCCCACAGGGCAAAGGAAAAAAAACTATGCAAATTGAAGAACCCGAAAAAATCAAGCTAGTTATATAAAAAATATATTTTATGTATATTACAGTTAAGATGCTATGTACACAGCACAGGGAATCCAAACACCCCTCGAAGGGATAGGGGAAGGGGAAAAAGGGACAAAAGGAAACAAAAAGGGACACCGAATAGATATGCACAATCAAACCCAAGAACTAGTAAAATAACTAGTAAAACAAATCTCACCACGTCCCTTAGAAAGCAGGATTGGCAGACACTGCCAGCACTCTCCAAACCTCCACGTGGCAGGCCAGTGGATGCTGCAGGCCTCAGCCTTAGGTAAGCGAGACCAATGCAGGGACCCACTGTTCCCGAACTCCGGCGGAAGAGAAGAGGAGCAAAGGCCGCTTCTCCTCTCTTATTTATACCACAATTTATGTAAAAATTGTATGGAATACTGGGAACACTACCCTTTCCTTAGTTACAACCTGATCACCAAGGAAGACCTGGATTAAAACCACCACGTGGTTAAAAAAAGTTGTAAAGAAAAAAATCCCTAGGCTTTCTTGTTTATCATAAAGTTACAGCAAATACATCTATATAGATCTGCATTAGTAAATTATTCAAGATTTCATCAGCAAGCTTAACCTGAGTTGTTTCTTAGCTCTACTGTAAAAGATATTATATTGTTAAAAAACTTAGGATACTAAAATAATAATCTATAGCAGCAGCCCATTTCCACTTCATTTCTCACAGTATTCCTTGGAGACAGAAGAAGACTGTTGTCCTCATTTTATACGAGATCATCTGTTTGCAGAGAGCTTATGTAGCTTGTTTCAGGTCAGACAGGAAGATTGTACTGGTGCAAAAACTATAACATGTATCTCTGTGTATTAAATCATTAAATCCATGTGTGTGATTAGCCAAAGGCTGCAATTCCATTGCCTGTAATGGAATTCTATTACTTTATTACTAAATCATTCCTCTTTCTGTTGTGGCAAGCAATCTGATTTTTAAAATTTTATTTTATTTTTATTTTTGTGCTCACCTAAATTGTTTTTAATTTTTTTACCTGCATTTTGCTCTTTATATTAAAAAATGTAAATTTTAGCATCTTATGAAAATTTGATTATCTGTAAAGTTATTATAAAGCTGAGTCCTTATGATAATTTTACAGCAAATTTTGTTCAGATGACAAATTTTTTAAAATATTAACAAAGTAATTTTTTACATATTTCTGATGAAAACATCTTGTGATTGGCAAAGTTTTCATGAATATTTGTGGAGTACCTTGAAAGTATCAGATGGAAGTTGATATGTAATGGTTCATACAGGATTCTAAATATCTAAGTAACTAAATGTATATATGAGGAGTAAATGCTGGAAGATCCCAGAAAAATCTCATTAAAGGCCAGAGGAAAGGATGACACTAAGTAGCTGAGGATTTATCAGGATTTCAGTGATTATACCTTTTTACCACTGCCTCTGCACAGTGCAGTGTACCCACTAGGATTCACAGTAAATGGGACTGGGACACAGCTGTGCAGCCTTTCCACTTGAGATAACTGGTACGTATATTCAAGAGCATACCCACCACCTAAATGGTATGATTTCTTAGGCTTCAGAGTTGGAAAATACCCAACACTGATAACCATAGTACAGTACAGTATCTGTCTCTGCTTATTGCACTGAAAGAAATTACATAGAGTCAGATGGTGCTATGCGGTGAAATGCAGCCAATAATGAGAAACAAAAGTGTCATCAAATAATAGACGTTTCATTTTTCCTGAGTAAATGAGCCACTATGTACAAAATAAAGCTTGATGCAGATGACTTATGTTCACTTGGCAGAAGACAGTAGAGTTAAGGTTACAAAAGAATTTTCTAGATTATGTCTAATTTTATATGGTTATAAATTCTTGGGGGGAAAAAAGATCTCATTTGGGAATTCTGATTTTGTACCTTGTTTACTAGCTAGAGATGATGTTTCTCCTCCTTCTATAAATTATAAACTAAGTAATTCTTCCTTTACCCTTCAGTTTTAGGTGAACAATACAGTCTTCCATTTTAAATGTTCAGTTCAAAGGAGATAAGGCCAAGATTCCTGTCAGTTTTCTCATATTCCCTACAATTTTTTCTCATAGTTTCCCACTTCAGTACTTCCCTGAATTTACCCTGCCTTTAATATTGAGAAACTGGAAATAATCTTAATAATAATAGATGTTCTTTAACCTGAATTTTAAAGATTGTTTTAAGAAAAAAAAGAAAAAAGAAGAAAAGAAAAGTTAAAAATTAGGACTAATACTTCCAGGTTTGTACTAATGCTTTATCTCCCTTAGCTAAACTGTAGCTTCCTGATGATAAATACTTTTTTCCACAAGAATATTTTAATTGGGCATTTCCCTTTTCTTCTCATCTCAGTCTCAAATAGTTATTGAAGAAAGAAATACCAGGAACCGTTGTGTCAATAGAGTATTATGATCCATATTGAAAACTCCTCTAGATGTTGCTGGTCTCATAAACTTCTTGTCTGTTACACGGATAATTTAAGAGCCCTGCATATTTAACTGAGCACATTCAGTGTGTTTTCTTCACTGACTTCAAGCCTCAACTATTCTGTAATTTCAGGTCTGATGTGACTTTGCAATTAGACTGCAGCAGTTTTGCAGTAAATCCTTTGCAGTAAATCCTATTCTCTGAAAGGATATTTATTCCATATTAGTCCTCTTAAGAGATATGGCAAATAAGGAGAGTGCAAGCAAAGCTCTCATTCTACTGTAACATTAATCTCTATCATCAGTAAACCATAATGTAGCACTCAGGCCCTTTTGTATTTTTATTATCCTGTGTCTTTTCTTACTGAGCTCTGTGTGTTTAATACTGAACATCATGAGATCTTGGAAAACATTTGGACCATAATGGTAGATAATTCTTTTTGTGTGACAGTATTGGACAGCCTGATTGCTATTGGAAATTTATTTTAATATTTGCTGGAATGAGTGAATTTAATTGACTTCTTTTAGACAAACATCTTTTCAGAGGAGTTTCTTGTACATTAGCAAAGTCTGCATCTGCCAGTGCAACATTTAAAAGTGTCTCGTATTTAACACTACATAGTGGCACTTGGAATCACTCAAGCTGTAGGTGAGAACCCACCTGATTTTCTAGATCCCTGTAGAACGCTGTTAAAGGACTTAAGTACAATTGAGAGAGTTGCAATTATCTGGCACTGAATGTTGGCGTCACAGATCTAGTACTTAGACTTGCAGGGTAAGAGCAACATTTTAGCTTATCCTTATGCTGTTTGTGCAAATGACAGTCACAAAGAGGCCAAATAAAAGTTTGTAGCTGAAGAAGCTTTCATACCGTAGATGACAATTTATCTTTGTGTGTTTATAACAATCTTAGCAAGCTGTGCAATACTAATAGGTTTATTCTTCTCATCTGTGATACGGCAACCAAGCCCTAGTAGACTTGCTGAGATATAAAACTGAACTTAGAATTTTAGTTTCTATTTTGACTTCAGCATTTTCTGGATCTAAAACTTGGATATCTTTATTTTTTTTTAACAAAAAAATATTGTTATAATTTCAATCTGATTGGAAAAAAAATATGCTGAATAATACAGTGGTAATATTTGTGCTCTTGTCAACAACTAGTAAACACTGGGGCTAACCAAGTCCTTAAAGAAGTCATGAAATGCACAGGGCACAATAACACTATCTGTCAGTGTTTCCATTATTTGCCTTTATGTGATACAGGGTCATGTTTTGTTCAAATAGTGATTCAACAGCTCTCGGAAGTAATCAATAAAATTGTGTGTATGGTAATAATGCAACAGGCCTGTCAAGCTCTTTATGATATGTAATAAATCCAGCTCTCCTAGGTGGGTGGATGAAACAAGAACATACATTTTTCTTCCTTGGCTGTGCACATACAGTGATGGAGGTCAATGTAGTGTGCTCATTTTTTATATTTTCAGTACCAGCAGGAAGTTTTGCAGTCTTGTCCTCCCACTCTTTTAATCCAATCTTTTCTGTTCCTCTCTTGGTGTCTTCCTTCTAGTGCCTTTGTTGTACTTAATCCACTTATTATGATGCATATAGTAAACTGAAATAGCTTTGGTTATTGAAATGTTAGACATGCACAGATTCTTCTAAATAACTGACAATCTTAATTAAAGAAAAGCAGCAATCACAGATAAGGCAAACGAACATAAGGGTGGTATTAGATGATATAGCGTAAATAAAATAATCAGTTATTCATCTGCCCAGCTGAGTATGGAGAGAAGCATTACTTTAAAACAAATAACTATCAGAGGAATGTATTTGTTTGAAAGCGGTGTCATTGGTGTTATTTTCTAGAAGTTCACATTACATTTTAAACCTGAAGAGGCCAAATTTCCACTCTTAAACCTGAATTCAAGGTAGTATCTTGCTAAGAGACGTCTTGTGTCCCTGTCCTCGGATCATGCAACATTTACGTGTTCCCAAGTCAGAAAGCCATCACTATCTTTTACTAAATCCTTACTCCCAAAGTAACCCCCTGTCTGCGTCCCCTTTCCCTATTGTAATCTACATGCAAGCTATATCCACCTCTAGAACACCAGTTCTCTGAGCAACCTTCACAAATCCCTACCACAGGCATTGAACATCCTACAAACACAAAGCCCCATTTGTGGTCTCCAGGATCAAATAATACTCTGTTAAACTGGATTTTTGGAAGCTTCTGGTGCACAAGGCCTCAGGTAAACCACACCTCTCTGACACCACCATAGCTGATCACATCTAACTGAGCCCTGCAAGACAACGCCTCCAGGGCTCTGCTCCTGTTTTATGATCCCAGATGATTGCTCACCCCCACACATAACCTAACATAAATTAGTGAAGACGACCCCCACACATAACCTAACATAAATTAGTGAAGACGAGAGACAATGAGAGGAGCAAACCAGCTGGTAAACTGCATGAGAAGTGCTTTTGTGCCACACATTAGCTTTTCAGCTCTGTAACAACTTTCAAAATTAGCATGACTCCTGAAAATAATCCCCAGCTGAGGGACCCTGCAGTATTAACTGCAGAAAATACAGTGTTGTTACATAAAACATAAGTTTAGCAGTACTGCTAGTCTTTCAACTCTATGTAGATTATATCTTCTAGAAATAAGGGAATATAAGTATTTGAAAGGTCATCCTCAACAGATTGGACAGCTTCTCGCAAATACACAGGAGGGGCTGTTGCAGTTTGATCCATGTTCTGAACTGTGATAGAAACAAAGAGAACTCTGTAGAAGGGACATTGGGAGGTACTGACTTACAGTGGTGAGACATTTATCTCTTTGCCCTTTTCTTATCCCAAAGCTCTCCAAATAATGTTGTTAGAGCAGTCTGCAGTCCTGCCTACAGTCTGCGTTAAGTTACCTCTGTTTGCTTATCTCCATAAACATTTAGAGATCAGAAGTGCATAACGCCAGAGTAGAGAAATAGAAAGCTCTGTGAAGGGCTCTCTTCTCTCAATTTGTTTGGGTGCATTCAATCAGTATGTTGAATATTAGAACCTGGTGTGAAATTGTTGGGTGATTTCAGTTGACTTTGGAGCAAATCTAAGAGTAATGTGTGTGGCTTTATATTTTTGAATTTATTGATTTTGAAGATGGAAATTTAGGAGATGTAAAGCTTTTACTTGAGCCAAGAACTGATATCTTGAGGCCTGTATTATTTCATACTGAGTTGTATTTCACTAATAATCATGAGTGTGTACATCATGTTAGTTTTATAAAACTTAGATAATGAAATTTAAATAATATTTTTTCTGAACACGTTTATAATAATTTATATTAATATTTAAAATAAACATCTGCTGTTGCAAAATATATTTTGAGAAACTTATTCCTCAGTAATACTTAAAGATACTTGCTCCTTAACTGTCAATCAAAATAGAAAAACCAGGGGCTTTAGGCCTGGTTTTATTAGGATAAAGATTACATGGGCTTAAATACCTCAGAGGATTTTAATCAGTGTTCATGCTTTTCTCTGTTCCACTGTGGCTTCTCCATTGGTTTTGGTCCCTCGTTGCCTTTTTGGGCATGTTCCTTGCAGTTTCTTACGTGTGTTTTCCCTCAGGCACCCCTATGTTAGCTGTGGGTTCATCCGTACCCTACAGCGGATTAGCTGGAGCCAGCTGTGTCTGTCACAGTGCAGCCCTGGCCTCTCCTCACAAAGACTGTGCCTGTAACTTCCTCCAATACCAAAAATTTCCGAGTTATGTCCCAAACAGGGTCACAGAATCATGCCCCACAAATACTAGTGAACAATGTAAGGCATTCTTTAGCAGTAGGACCACTTGGGCCCAGTAAATACATGGTCTTGGATAACAAAATGGTGTGAAGATGAGCTTTTCTGGAACAGTAAGCTTAGATTTCAAATACTCTGTTTGGGGCATTTTTGTTTAGAAGATACTATAAAGTTCTGTGATTAAAAAAGAAGTCCAGTGCTTTACTTTCAGTTTAAAAACAAGCATATGGAGTGTGCCTTGATAAACTATGTAACCAAGACATTGTTGAAAGCAGTTTCCTCCCCAAACTAAAAACTATCCCAAGTGTCCCAACAATATATTTACCAGCTGCAAAGTTTACACGTAGTAGTATCACGTAAATTGAACATGTTTTTTAACATTATATTTTTTGTCATTTTGTCAAACTATTAGTCTGTTACTATTTGGGGAGATGAGTAAAAAGAAATTTAACTTGTGCACAGAAAATATGTTATAAAAAGTCAAGAGAATCTGGGACCTGGTTAGGAGTAATTATGCTTTTCTTTGTGAATTAGGGCATGTGAATTTTATACCCAGCATTATTTCTATATGCAGGGTGTGGTGTGACCTCATCTTACACCCTTCCTTTTGGCCTCCCATCTCTCTTTCAGAGACTGACAAAGTATGTGTTCTTGCCCTTCCTGGCTGTGACTTGATACACTGCATCATCCCCAAACAGCCCTAACTTGTCAAATACTTTAATAATATTCAGCAAGGCCATGTCCGAGTCCTGCACTTGGGTCACAACCACCCTATGTGCACTACAGGTTGGGGGAAGAGTGGCTGGAAAACTGCCCAGTGGAAAAGGACCTGGAGATGCTGGTTGACAGCAGCTGAACATGAGCCAGCAGTGTGCCCAGGTGGCCAAGAAGGGCAGTGACATCCTGGCTTGTGTCAGAAATAGTGTAGGCCAGCAGGACTCAGGAAGTGATTGTCCCCCTGTACTCAGCACTGATGAGGCCACAGCTCAAATCCTGTGTTCAGTTCTGGGTCCCTCACTGCAGGAAAGACACTGAGGTTCTGGAGCATGTCCAGAGAAGGGCAGCGAAGCTGATGAAGAGTCTGAAGCACAAGTCATACGAGGAGCAACTGAGGGAGCTGGAGTTATTAGCCTGGAGAAAAGGAATCTCAGGGAAGAACTTAACTGCTCTCTACAACTACCTGAAAAAAAGTTACAAGTGATAGCATGAAAGGAAACAGCCTCAAGATGTGCCAGGGGAAGTTTAGATTGAATATTAGGAAAAATTTCTTCACCGAAAGGATTGTCAAGCATTAGAACGGGCTGCCCAGGGAAGTGGTTGAGTCTTACAGAGTCTTGAGTCTTCTCCATCTTGGAGAAGACAAGGCTCAGAGGAGAGCTCATCACTCTCTACAACTACCTGAAAGGAGGTTATAGCCAGGTGGAGGTTGGTCTCTTCTCCCAGGCAGCTATCAGGAAGACAAGAGGGCATGGTCTTAAGCTCTGCCAGGGAAGGTTTAGGTTGGATATTAGGAAGAAATTCTTTACAGAAAGGCATCAGGCATTGGAATGGGCTGCCCAGGGAAGTGGTGGATTCTCCATTCCTGCAGGTTTTTAAGATGAGACTGGATGTGGTAACCATGGTGGTAGTAGATCAAGGGTTGGACTTGATCTCAGATGTCCTTTCTATGATTCTGATTCTATGATTCTATGATCAACCCTGGAAGTATTTAAAAGACATGTAGATGTGGCACTTGTAGATATAGTTTAGTGGTGGACTTGGCAGTGCTGGGTTGATGGTTAGACTCAATGATCTTAAAGGTCTTTTTCAACCTAAATGATTCTATGTTGCAATATTTGAATGTTCTTTCAAGTTAACTGCTTTCCTTGTTCAAGATGAGTAAAATCTAAACAACAAAGTAGCACAACGTTAAAAACTAAATTGACATGAAGCCCTGCCAGTGAAGAGGGTGTGGATATACAGCTTTTATTCTTTTAAGTTTTAACTTTACATTTCCCTATAAAGATTCAAATTTCGTGTTAAGTCCATTGTTGTTTGCTGACTGTTCTCTTCTGTATTCATGTAAAGTGTTTCTAAGCCTGAATATGAATTCACGTTTTCTCTTTTTTTTTCTTTTACTTCTTCCAGGAGCTTGAATTTCAGGATCTGACGGCAGTTTTACACTGTATTCACTCCTTTATAGCAGCAAAAGTGGCATCTGTGGATCCAGTATTCATAGACAGTCAGAGTATTGCAAGAAAATATATGTACAGTAACTGATACTAGATTATATGTTGTGACTATGGAAAATAAATTATTTTCTTAAAAAAATAGTAGTTATTTCATTCAAAATATTGCAACTTTGTGGTTTTATAAGAAGCCTTTATTTGTGTTATCTGTAATGTTAAGAGTTTTCACAATCTGATAAATATTTTAAATCTGTGAGTTGACAAATACTAAATCAAACTGAATCAGTTTGTCATCTTCTGCGTTAATCTAAAATTCTAAGTGAATATTCATTCAGTAATATTTCTAGTGCCATTTTGATTTCTACTCTTATGGTCATTCATACTCCCCCTTATTAGGTAGAAATGTGGAGTAATATTTGAAAAGCGTGTGTCCAAAATTTGGCCTCTAAGTCTCTTTTGAAAAGTGCTGGGCACACAGACAGTTTCTACAATCTTCACTGTAGAAAAGAAGTAATTATTTCAGACCACTGCAGTAGGAATTGAACTTTTATCTTGCCTCTCTATGTTTGAAAAATTATAGTTCTACAGTTGGGTTCTTTCAAGGTCTGAGAGTTTAGCTCTGGCAAAACACTAAATACTGTATTTCAGATCTAGGAAAATATTTAAGCACATGCTTGGCTCTAAGCACATTAAGTAGCCCCAGAGTATGCACAAGGAAATGTTAAGTGTGTATTTAAGTCTCATGGTAGATCAGCTGTGAAGAGATTTAGACTCAGCTAAGAAGCTTGACTATAGCCACTCAGAACACTTGCCATAGGGTTTTCTTATCTATGAATAAAATTTCCATGACCCATTCATTTATTCATTCACAGATTGCCTTGATGCTGTCCTTTGATGTGATGCCCTGTATGCTTGGGAACAGCTTCTTTAATAAACTGTTTTGTTTGGTGAAAGATGCTTCCAGTATAGGATGAACATAACAAAACACAAAGATATTTCTGGTCCATCTACCTTTTCCTTCCTACATCTCTAACCTTGACATAGGCAAGCAAAAGGGATTTTCTCCTTGCTAAAGAAATAATATGTTTTTATTTTCAACATATTCCTAACCTTCCTTCTGAAATCATCTTCTTATATGCACAGATAATTTGTGCTGCTATTGAAAAATTATATGAAAGGAAGATATTTTAATCTTAGGCCATATTCCCTGTAAGTAATACCAAATATTGCAGGTTTTTGTGATAGAAGTCTCAGTTGTTCTCACATGCAGATTCGAAGCAGCATCAACCAATTACATTTTTTTCAAAAAATAAAACAAAAAGTAGAATATTTTAACTAGATGCAATGGATAAGGAATGAATTCATCAAAGTCCTCCCTAAATTTTAGGGGTCTTGTAAAGTGTCCTGCTAAAATAAAAGCTTAAAGTATCCCAAGGAAAAGAGGTAGATGCCTTTAAAAGCTCCCAAGTGAGGAGTGTTATTTCATAAATTCACTGCTTAAGTTTAGTCACTTAAATTCTTCCCTTGAGGTCTTAAGCTGTCTTGTCAGCCTGCAGTAGGGCCTTAGGCACTTACTTCAAATGGGTGCTTATCTGTCCACCTAAAGCTTAGGCACAAATAAAGTGCCTAAAGCAGGTGATTTCATCCTACCTGAAGAATTACTTGTTTCCAAGTGTTATCCATAGAGAAATTCATTTCAACGGTAGGGACTATGTTGTTTAGGGTTCTGATGTTGTTTGCAAGAAGGCATAGTAGGAGTGCTAACTCCTGGTTAAACAATATTTAACAGAGGAGATAAATATTTTTATAATTTAAAATAAATATATACAGTCATTGTGGTATTTTTAATATATAATCTCAATTATATATTAAATTTTTTAAAATTCTTTCTCATACACACATTTATGCAAAATATTCCATTTGATTCTCAGGTTTCTATTTTATTTTCTGCTTGTATTTACTGAGGTTTTAACATTCACAAATTACAGCATTAACATTACAATGTCTTTCTTAAATCAATTCTCAATTATTAGCATGAACAATTATAAATGTCAAAGGGTAAGATAAAAAATTATGGAATTCCTTCAATTTTGTTTTTCTGATATTTTGTCATAGACAAAGTTAAACACTAATATGGTAATTATAGTAGAAAACTGTACCAGCTAATACTGAACTGATGCTACAGTCAGACCTCTAGGCTTAATGTTTTAAGAATCATGTGATTATAAACATATCTTCCCAAATCCTGTAATACAAACTTAAAAGAAATTAAGATCAGTTTATTATGTAGTCTTTCAGTAATTTAGTTATTTGTTTCATGGAATTTCTAAATTCTTTTAGTCTTTTAGTGAGCTATGTTTACTAGTGTTTTTGCAAGATAGCAGTGTTCTTTATATCCAAATCAATCTGAAGGGATACTAGAGAAAAATTCTTATAAGTTCACCCTCTGAATTTTAGCACTGTATTTTAGAAATAGTTCTCCAAACATATTTTTAATGAGGGACCTTCAGATCTTTATTTGTTCACTTGCTTTTTCTTTCCTTTCACATTGTACAACTACCGCAAGGCAGGGACTAAAGGCCAGTCTTCTGAGCAAGTTGCCAGAGCCTGGGAAGACCTGATTGATTGCTACTTACTCAGCTGTTATATAGGTTGTGTAGGACTTGCATAGCACCTTGCATTTCTTTGTCAAATGCCTCATATGTGAAAATGCTGCACTTCCAATTTGTTTGGTTGCTTATGCTCATTTGTCAAATTTTTATTTGTCAGTAAAGTGTATTATTTTGTCATTGCCTTCCGTGTGTGCATCATGTAACATGCATATATTTTTCCTGTCAAAGTTTTGAGTATTTGCACCGCTTTTCAGCTCACTAAAGACCTCAAAATAGCAAAATAGTAGGATCCAATGGTAAATAAATCTGCTACTGGGAAGGTACCTTCCACAGTCACCTCTCAGGAATTGCACTGTGGGGCAGAGGACAGTTGCTTTGTGGTGACTGGGCAGCTGGAATGTCAAATATTTAATTGCTAATCATATCATTAAAGAAATTTTAATATACTTTGTATAGTGATTATATACTAAACTTAAGTTTTACTACCGCATTATGCATTTTTGTATAGTTTTCCTTTATTTTTTCTAGGAGGCCAAAGGGGTACCAGAATTGAATAAGGAGTAGGAGGAGAGAGGCATTTGCTACAGCAGCACCTTAAACAGCAGACTGAGGAAAGAAGCATACAAACATAGAGTTATAAAATTGGGCACCATCACAAAATCAAGATAGCTACTTGTGATTAGAAATATGTAAAAAGAGGATAGTCTTTGTAAATTGAAATTATCTTTGTGCATTTATTTAAACTCAAAACTTGGTTAAATGGCTAAAAATAATCCCATCAACAAACATGATTTTGAACAAATGGTAGTGCTCTTGATTTAAATCGGAGGAAGTCTCATCAGTGACTTACAAATTACGGAGCGGTACAGCATGGACTTAGGCACTGGACTTGAATCATACTAATGATTTGTTAAAATAATTTCTTGCATTTTTTGCTCTACATGGATTAAAATTTTCAGAAAAAAATCCTGTGCGCAATCAAGCTAAAGTCAGCTCAGTTCTGTTCTCAGGGCATGGCTTGATTGTGCTGTCCTGTTGAAAGCAGCAGAACATTTAATAGAGGGGTTGTGGCCAGGCTCTGCCCAGCGGCCTCAGGGATAGAAAACAGGCCCTGACAATTTCAATTATAAATTTAGATGTTGCCAGAGTCTCACTGACTTAATCTGACCTATATTATTTAATTTTTTTTTAATTGCCTGTAATCATAAAGCACAGAATTATTGAGGCTGTGCTGATCCAAAGCTCAAGGTGGGAAATCTGAATGAATTCTTCTAAGCTTAGGATCTTAGGATCTTAGAAAAAGTATTTCAAAGTGATTCCTACCCTTAAGCCAGTAGGCCTGAAGCTTAAATAATAATTTTCTGGGGGAGGAGGGCTAAGCTCTGACACACTTTGCAACCGTAAATCTAAAATCCTGTCTTATAGCTGAACTACATTAATTCATAACTTCAGACAAGGCATGACTTTTCTACAAAACCTTTAATATATAGTCTGATCTTTGTAGTGATGTGAGCAGTATTTAAAAATGCCTATATTTCATTTTAAGTACATCTCCATAAATGCTTCTACCAAAAAGACTGTCAGTATTTTATAACACTTCATCCCCACCCTGAGTATCTCTATCACAGAGTTCAAAGTGAAGTGTGTATAATGACAGTGCAATTTTTCTGCTTTTTGTTTACTGCTGTGGTTCATTCTTCCTTTTTTATGGTTTTCCTGTGTTCTCCAGTAAGTTTTAGAGGGCAGAAAGGGTAAATATTAGGAAGGAAGCACTTTCCCCCATGCTCTCATGAGTGGCAAAGTGGTGATGTCTGTCCTTCTTTCCAGTGCTTGGAAAATGGGTCAAAGCAGTACAAAAATAAAAGGAGGGGAGGGATGGACAGCTGGACAGACTGTGTAATCTTAAAAACCTAGTTTACTTAGCTATGCAAGCTGAAAGTATAGTATCTTTTAGTATAGTTCTCTTTGAATTGCTATTCATTGAGTTATGGATGCTGAATAGGAAAAGACTGCAAAGAAAAAATATAAAACATATCATGTAATCATGTATTTTGTTTCTTAACCTATGCTTCAAAAATGTTTAGGTACTTTTGTGTTGAATCATGTAGAGAAGCAACTATCTTATGTGAACTAAAAGACCTTGCAGTAAATTTATTAAGAAGTACAAAAGGGATTTTTGAGGCATGCAAGATGAAATTGAAGATGTATTTTAATGTGGTTCAACCAGATAAATTGTCAAGTAATAGATTTTCATGAAATTTGAAGTTATTTGATTTCAGGTACATGAGCCAAAACCCACTGCTGTGTTAAGTCCCAATGACTTTTACAGGACTTAACCTGAAAAAAAGATGTATAATTTTAAATAATACACAGAGGAATAAGAAAGCTTTTCTTTTCTAATAGTCCCTTGGTGCACAACTGCCTACATTGTCAGTTAAAGGATTCATTCCAACTGAAAAAACTGCTGACTTTTCAGTAAGGAATCAAACTCATAACTATTTGGGCTGAAGGCTGTAATCTTTTATTTGGAATGGCTGCCATGATGCCCTGTACAAGTTGCAGTTATGCAGCTATTCAGACCTCTAGTTTAAATCACAGACTCTTTTTTTTCAGTGCAAAAAGATGATTTATTGTGCAAGTCTACACATCAGAGCTGTGAGAGGCAGAAGCATCTCAGCTGCATAGATCTCTACAGCTGCGAGACAACCAAGCAGGGAAAGGAAGTTAAATGTAAGAAGAACTTTATTTTTCTTTCCTAGTTACAAATTGTTCTTGAAACATTATTTCTCTAGGCTAAGTAGCTGTCAGGTTTTAAAATGTTTCTAAATTCTCAGCTATGATGGAAATGTTGCTTATTAATGCTTATTAATGAATTAAGGTAGAAATTAGTTTTCTGGCCAGTGTTAATCATCTAGTCTCAACTCCGTATTGGTGAAAAGAGACCAGCAGTTTCAGGGAGTGCTTTATTCCCTCCCGCAATAGATGCCTAAAACCAGTGGATTGAGTCACATTCTGAGAAGGCATCTTTTTCTATCAATAAGCCCAAATTTTCCTATGTTACCACATATTTTTTTGACAGCTTAATTTTCTATAGATAGCATTAATGTCAGATTTATATACCAGTACAATAAAAAGTAGCAATCATGACCAGTGTTGCAGGATCATGAGAATAAAATGAAACAATCCTGAAGTGAATGGAGTTTGAATCAGAAGTTTGTCATCCCCTTTAACAGGCAGAGGGGAGGGAAGAAAAAGCCCTCGCCTCGCCTGTTTTTTCGAGCTAGCAGTTACTACCTCGTGCTTAGTAGAAAATATTTATAAAATGAGGCAGTAGAAATTGTACTAATTCGTGGATGAGTTCTATGTCCCAGGGTATGCACTGACTCTTGGAACATTGAACTACTCATACAAAAAAATATTAG